CACTTGCAACACCTGAGGCGTGCTCTGCAGCTCTTGCGTAAAAATCAGTTGTTTCTGAAGAACGAAAAAAATGTTAGTTCTTCGTGCAAGCGATAGTGCCTTACAGTTTCGTGCTTTTGCACCAAAGGCCCAACCACATCCAGCAAAACTAGAGCCCATTCGGAAGTTGCCGTCACCTCTGTACATTTGCAAGGATGTCCAGAAGTTCCTTGGTCTCCCATCATACTGCCGCAACTTCATCCCTGGGTTCACTCGCAGTGCAGTCCTTCCAACTAGTATACTGAAGCAGGACAATCAATTTATTTGGATGCGGACCGAAGAAGAAACTGTCACAAGCCTCTTCGGACATCTCACGCCGTATACAGTGCTCATACTCCCTGAATTCATCAAACATTCCACCTAGCAACCGATGCCGGTGAGATAGCAGTTGGGGTAGTGCTCTCTCAGTAGGCAAGATACTCGTAAAAAGCTGTGAACTTTCGCCTGCTACTAACGAATTTCCAAAAAAGAAAAATAGCAGAAGTTTCCGGCGTGTACGAAGGAGTTGTCCGCGATCTTGTAAGGACTTACGAGGTGTCGATACAACTTTTATTTGCAGGCATTCCACTGTCCAAAGTGATAGTCAGTTGCCAGCACACCTGATGAAGAGCCTTCACGACTTCAATGACGCCAGAGTTGTTCAGTGGCTTCGCCGACTCACGCAGCACGGCTTTACCGTTCAGCATATCTGGGATAGCACCAACTGCTCATCCTGCCGACGCTGTATCGGTCAGGCACTGCTTTCTGCTACTGCGGTTATCTGTGATGGCTACCGTTCCTCTTCTACACTGCCCCTTTCCTTCTCTTTAGATACTCACGCGGCTGTGATTCCTGCTAATATCAACAACTGAGGACAGGTTAAGCACTGCAGCGCATACGGCGATCCCACATGGTATCAGACGAAGTGCAGAGTCCATCAGCAATATTTTCCAAGTTCTCTTCGGAGGTATGCTATGCTGAAAATGTAACATCAGGGTTTATTGAGCAGTGGCGTGGCAGATAGAACAATGGAATAAGTTGTCAGGTCCATTTGGCGGCCTACGATGCGCCCCTCGGCAGCGGAACTTGCCCTTGCGTCTCCAGGATCTCAGCAGCTAAAGACAAGGAAAGATCCCATGCGTGAAGGCTCGCATAGTTGCCAGATTTTCAAATGGACCTGGAAATACACGTCAGCAGATTTCATAGTGCATTTGGTATCAGTGAGAGGCTGTGATATCATTCCGGTGTTTCTGAGGGGCATAGCAAATTTGCGCACCGCATCCCCCTTGCGATTTCAGTCACAGAGGCAAAAGTGGAAAACAAGTCCATGATCCACGTTTGAAAGCCCCACGATTTTCCCACAAACATCATTAGTGGCGTGGGCCCGACGTTTGTTGAAGCGTTCGTGCGTGAATTCTTGACTCGCTTAATTTCGACCGCAACATGACCACCGCCACGCATTCGCAGGAAAATTGCACGTGTGTGCTGTAGCTGAGACTCCAAACCCAGAAAAATTCATCAGAGTGGCTAGATACCGTTCATTATTCAGAAAGGGGGGTCCCATACAACTGCACTGCACGATCCGTTGCTCTCAGGATCTCCACCGAAACGCCGTCGTCTGACCCGATGCTACGTGTGGTTGCTGAAAGCCAGCCCCGAATGCCTGCATGTGCAAACCTCCATACACAGCGTGCATTAACCCTGGAATATATGGGGGAAGTGCGGGAACGCCAGGCAAGGAACTACGACAAACTTATCTCGGAAGTCAGTTTCAACAACGGCGACTTGGTTTTTATGGGATCGCGTGCTCTCCGAAGTGCACAGGAGGGTATGCAACCGAAAAATTTCGCCATGCGGTGCGTAGGCCCTTAGCTGTTTGGTCTCAGGCCAACGCGTTGGTTTTCATCGTACACATACGGCAGCATAGTATTAGTACCGACTTTCTAAAACGATTCGGGGGATCGCTCGCATCTTCTCGAACTCTCCATACAAAATGGTATCAACGTCATTGCGACGAGGATTTATTGGAGAAAAGAGGTGTCCTGCACATATGTGTAACGATGCGAAGAATCCACCAAAAAGGGAATATCATGTTCAGTAAGCACTAGACCTACTGGTCGAGCATGTTTCTGCTGATCAGAATCACTTCCTCATGGGCATCGTCATGCGTAAGTCAACTCAGCAGCAACGACTAAAAGAGTACCGAGGCTTGACATGGGGGAGGCTGCAAGCATTTGATAACAGTTGCTCTGCCACGTGCAAAGAGGCCCACATACCTTCAAATCTACGCGCTATCCTCCCCTACTTACCCGCTGACACATACACCCTTTCGTCTGACACCCACAAAATGTTGTCTGCTGCGGAGCATACCTAGCCCCATGACTAGGTATGCAGGACGACCACCAGCAACACAATAGGACACCCACAACATTTTGGGGGTGTCTTACTGTGTTGCTGGTGGTCGTCCTGTTGGGACTGGGCGGATCCAGCCTGGTATGGGCTCTGATGTCGGGTGCAGGCAGCGGTTAGCTTCATTTTTCAACCAGGTTGGGAGGCGCGCTGATAGCCAAACACAGCGCACGAAAAAGGGTGTTGCGGCCACCTGTGTCAGGATTGGGTTGCCATACTCATAAGAGGGCGGCATCAGCACAGCAAATGGAAGAAAAATCGACAGGTGCCGCTCCAGCCTTGCTCCTCTTGTTTTTCTTTTCCTTTCCTCTTCTTGGAGGCTCTGACCCCTCTAGTGGCTTCCTTTCATCCCATAGGTCTACGCACAACTTGGTTGGCGATTGTGCACACGCGGGCGTTGTAAACAGCGCTCGTTGCCGCTACTACGTACCTGCCTTCTGCAGACCTACTAAGTGCGCATTCAGTATATAAGCGCGACACTCAGCGAATATAGTCCTTCATTTACCCCAGATTCTCAAAGAACATTCTTACATTCATAGCTGACTCCATTCTTCCTAAAGGAGGAAGATTAATAATAACTCTTCTGCCGATGCCGGCCCCTTGCGGGCGAGGGCCTCGACCACAGTGCCAGGCTCACAACACTCCCGACACCCGAAGAAGCTTCCAAGCCCAGATGGCCTTATTTCCTGTGTAAAGCGACTTAATTTGTTTCTATTAGTATATTATTTGTACTCTCTCTGCCGGATAGACCCCTACAGGTTCAATTTGAGTCTGATTGTAGTGTTTGTGCACCAGAGGGGGTGCAGATATATCATGCTCCGTCCGAAGTTGGCACATGCATTTGTACTTGAGCGTAGGAGGGCAAATTACGGCCCATAAATTGCTTAACAATTGTCTGCAGTGTTAGTGAGTGCAGCAAAGGGGGCTTGGTTACGCTTCTATGTGGCGTTGCCCCTAAGCCGGACGTGAAGCAAAGACTGACGCAGACTGCTTATTATCACAAGCTGTCTCGTCTCCGCACCACTCCCAGACCCTTGTGCGGCTGTTCTTAGGACTCCTGGAAACTGAAATGAAGATCAGCGGGGTTTTTTAAGGACTCTGAGCCTTAACTTTTTGTGTTCCAGCTCGATAGGATCCTCTGCTAACATTGATGAACTTCGTCAGACCCTTTCACTCCCGTCTATTCATGAGGGCATTTTGGGCTACGTGCCATGCCTCAGCCTACATAGCTGGTCTCCCTCATGACAACATAAGCCTAGCTTACAGCGATTCCACCCCGATGCTTCGTTGTTGATAAAGAAACTAGGGTCACCCAGCCTCACGCTGGAGGGCGGTCGTGCACCAAGGAACGAAATCATGCCAATACAAGGGAAAGGAACAAAAATAACTTTGTTATAATCCAACTGACGGCACCTGCACCAGCCCATTCACTGGGTCGGATTTCGCCCCATTTCGCTCAGCAGTTTTTGATAGCTGCAACGACTCAGCGGCCTCGGAACTGCGCACGTATTGCCCTAGAAGAAACTGAACCCAACCTACAGGCCATACACTAATATATCTTAAGTGCTAGTCTTAGTCTTAGTTTTTCCAGGAATAAGACCGCCTTACGCTTTAAGAAACGCAAAGCGTGCTGTCAGTTAAGCGCCGCCGACAGCGGTAAAAAAGGCGCTCCGGCAGTTGAAGGCTGTTAGTTAACCTAACGATGAAGCGAAATTAAAAGAGGAAGCCAGTTCACTACTGTACGCTTCTTGTTTTGGATAAATCATAAGGAATTTGTGAACTTTGGTCCACTTCACTCCCAAGTTAAGTGAGGAAATTCTCAAGACGTCGAATTTAGTCTGTTCCTGTTACAAGAACCCCCCCAAGCTCCTCTGCTCAGCCGAAACCTCCCTATCCATATGTACAAAATGGTCACTTGTATTTATGCATAAAATGAGCGCGCATATCCAAATCCGAGAGCCGGCATCCGGAATCCAGTTGGGCAGCATGATATGATGCGCCAAGCACTTCCTCTAGCACGCATAGCGCTTGTAACCGTGTAGTTCACTTTATTTTGGAGGGAAATCGACGACTTCAGACTTATAAACTATAAAACAGTCATTTACCGCCTAAAATAATCATTGGTTAGTCCATTAAAAATTCACCGAGGCAGCAAAGCACTGCCAAGGCGCGGGCCCCTCCCGCTGCAGTTGCAACCACAGCGCAGGGGCCTGCCTGGGGATGAGCCCTTCATTAAAAAAACAAAAGTGGTGCATTTGGCATGGCGCGAACCTCAAGACGGCCCACGTCAGCCGAACAAATATGTACATACATCCACCTTGGGTACCCAATCCAGCACTACAAGTGGATGCAGAAATATGCATTGAATAATCCAAGAAAAGCATGCGCAAATCTGCACGCCCTCAGCTGCAAAAAAGGGCAGCTGCTGCGTGCCATGCTGGCACTTATTCTCCATCCCCTCCGAAGTAGCCTTTACCCCTTGGAAAGTGCAATTTGTAAAGCCGCTTGTTCCTCTGCTTAGGATGAGGGCTAGGCATGTACTGGTTGAGGCCAAGCGGCTGAGCTATCTAAACTTAATCTTTTCTGCATGAGCCTGCCTCCCACATCCAGAGGAGGACGGTACTAACATTGCGTGATGTTTTTGGCGGTTTTGACGATTCATATTTCCGGCAGCTTTGCGCAACATCGTTGGGAACAACTGGACTTCCCTTCGAGAGAGGTCTGCATGCCTGAAATTTGAAAGGCCACTGCGCCCTCCACCAGTTGCGGCCGTTGGCAAGGTAGTCAGTGATAAATCCCCTGATGTTCTTGGCTTGTCCGGCGAGGAGGTACGCTTGTTCTGCAGAACAAGACTCGCGCCTGCGCAGCATTTCTAGTTCGTCTATTGCTTGCTGCACGCTCCGCGCTTGCTGTTCGGTCAGTTCCTCGCCAAGCTCTTTTACAGCGGCCTCCAGCTTTTGTTTTTCCGACTGAAGAATCTGCTGCAAATCCTCCCGCGCCTTAATTTCCACTTCGAACGAAGTCGCACACTTTTCGGCATCGGTGTGGGCGGTCCTGATCAACCTCTCAAGCGGCTGTGTGAAATCAAGGGGGTTGGCAAAAAACGTCACGGGATTGAGAGAATTCAAAACCTTCTCTTCCTCAAAATTTGCCTTTTTATACAAGTTGTCGGGGTCAAGGAACCAGCAGAGCTCCCCGGTCTGGTCCACCGCCTTTGCTATGGCTTCCTCCCCTAGAGCCAATGTGAGGTGCATGCGCAGCAGATGTGCTTCGATGCTGTTCTCTGTTTCTTTGAGTTTTTCTGCTTTCTGTATCGAGGCTGCCGTCTGTTTTGCCAGGTCCTGCATCCCATCAATAAAGTAGCCAAGGTTTCCTTGCTTCATGAACAAAGTCCAAAACATGCAATGTCCAGGCCACTCACGGCACAGCTGCCGTATCGGAGTTGACATCCGGGGGAGATACTTGAGGCACTCAGGAGATAAGGCAAGACCTTCAGCCTCCTTTGACTCTTTTCCTTTCTCTGCCTCTTCCTTTTTCCCTACAGCTTCCGATTCGCGCGCTCGTTCAAGTACAGCATTCATCTCCTCTGGCGTTACTGCATCATACCACTCTTCGCTTGCCTCTTCAGCCTGTTCAGGAGTTGGTGCTTCGTGCCATTCTTCCGTTTCCTCAGTCTGCTCAAGCCCTTCGGAGACGGGAGCTGATGCTTCTGTTTGTACTGATTCTTCTGCTGAGGTGCTTGTTGTGGAGACCGCAGGGCTTACAGGGGTGAGAATTTCTTCCTCCTTGAGGGGCTCCGTTCCTTCAGGAGTCTCCTCTTCAGGGCGTACGCCTGCTGCAGCAGCGGCAAGGCCGGCTCCTGCCACCCCTGAGACACCAGCTCCTTCTCCTGCTTCACGTGGCCCTCGGGATCTACGGAGCCTCGGAAGCCTTTTAAAAACAGCTACAGCTGCCCTTCGAGCTGCTCCTTTTGCCCGGGAAGCCCCGCGTCTTAGGTGTTGCCAAATGCGCCTTAGCTTTTCTTTTGCGGCGACTCCCATACGGCCTATGGCCCTCCGTAGACGCTGAAGCCGACCCGATCTCCGCTGCGGCTGTTGATCCTTTTGCCGTTGCTCTTGCTGCTCCTGCTGCTGGGGCTGCAACAGGTTAGCTGTTTCGCCCTCCCGGCTCCAGACGCCCGAAGCGGTTCTCCGTTCCCTCCCGAGGGATAGGGAGCGGCGCCGCATAGCCGGCCGCAGGGGCACAGGGTTGCCGGTTTCTCCAGGGGAGCCGAATGTCAAAGAGGCGCTTCGCGGCCGAGGTGTCAGTGAGAGAAAAGATCCGGACGGGGACATCTGTCGGCCGCCTATGGTGGCTGACAGCGAGAGGGCGGGGGATGGAAGAGCAGCACCATGATGCCCTCCGGGACTAGTACTCAAGACAAATCTATTGACTAGCAAACTAAAGAAAAACAATAAAAGTGGTATGAAACGGAGACCACCTGAGGATACACTTCGCCCCATTGCTTCTAGAGACTGACTTCGTACGTGCAAAAGTAAGTGAAAACTTGGAAAAAGGCTCAAACCAAACAATCCACACACGAAATGAAGAATGTCAAAGAAGTTTATTTTCTAACTGCATCTACTGTGATTCATAGGCACGCACACAAACGCTGTACAAACAGCTAGCCAAGCCACCCGCCTCCGGTGGACCATCGAAGTCCAGTGGACCGCTACCTACTACCTGCACAGGCAAGTCGATGGAACGGTTGTAGATACACGGCCAGTGACAGAGATCCAGAATTGAAGGTCGGTAGAAAATCCAGTTTGAGTTGTAAATACAGCCCAACATATACTATAATCATTTAACCTGCAGTCTGGTGTAATCCTCTCCCAGAGTCGTTGGCGGGTTGGCTGGCCCCCATCGGTGTAGTTTAAAGGAACAGCGCTCCTCTTCTGGTTTTCTTCATAGAGACAAGTATTAAACAGTATAAGCTCTCAATTTAATGCGTTGTGGAGATCTTTCTCGCAACTGAAGATCTCGTAGGGCGTCGATACTGTCACGCTGCATGACACAGCCGCCGCCAGCCTATGAATCCGCCAATACCAGTCAAACTTTGACACAACATGAGCCGAATGGATTTCAAAACCTTGATCAAGTAAAGTGCGGAGCTTAATTAGGGACAGATCAATTTCATGTGACGAAAAAAGGCAACAACAGTGAATGGGGCTGAGGCGGGCCAGTTCCATCCACACTCTACTGAAATGCCCACTTGCAGTGGGGAATATGCCGTTCCTTCTACAATTTAGATGCCCCATAGGCAGACTTCATAGTCACCTAGAATTTCATTCTGCGACTGGGCAAACTAGGTCATCTCGGCACAAAGTGGCTATTGCCTCCGTTCTAGACACAGGGCCAACGGCCTGTGCGTACTACGTTGCAGGAGCAGTATTAAACGTCACTATACAAACTCGCAGCTAATATAGACAGGCCTGAGTACTTGACTGCAGTAACTGGCGGACAGTTCTGAAAGCGCCCCACATCCCCTGAACCTTCAGCATATGCAGAACTGAAGGGGAGAATTAATGGTGCCTGAAGAGCAGGCAGTTGAAAGAACAGGCTGCCAAGTTTAGTGAATATCTAATTATCAGATGCAAGTAAAAACAACTGAGAAGAACAAAAAACGCAACTAACAAATGCGTACAAGCGCAATGCGACAGCCGATCCTAAACGGCAGCATAACTGTGCTCATTTCGGGGCATTGCTGTCCTCGTCTTTCGCGAAAGGGAATCAGGATAATATTCCTGGTCCAGGACGTGGATTATGTACGGCAATGTGAAAGAACTCCTCGACGCAGGCTGGTGCCCCGGGAAGCGTCGTATTTGCTTTTTAACACCCTAACGTAATGTTACAAACATACCGTGAAATCAGATTATGTGGAGATAGGGTTGACTAGTTGGTAGAGCTTCCTGGGTTCCAGGGAGTCCACTGCTCCCCTGACTGCGCTTGAAGAGGAGGAAAGCTGTTATTTGCACCCCTGGCCGTACAATACACCGCATCAGATCTCCAAGGTTAGTAGCCTCTGTTCGATAGGAGAAAGTAGATAAGGAAAGTCGGTAAAATGGATCCCGTGACTTCTGAAAAAGGGTTTGTTCTGACAGCTGGGTGAATAGCGCCAGCTCCCCCAGTGCCTGTGCAGCATTCGTCTGGCTGGACCAGGCGCTGCGGCCTCAGTGCCCAGTGGCGCGTTTCCAGAGTTCAGGAAGGGAAAGAACGGCGTCTTTGTGGTTATTTTACATACTGACAACTCTGGCTGTGAACAGCTCAATTATTCTGTCTTCTGCGCCACCGCCACCAACATCTGCCCACCCTGGCCGCCCCTCAGGGTTAAGAAAGTCGTTATGCCTACTGAAATCGAGACCGCCGCATGCAGGACCAGAGAAAGCCAGCATGCCGGCGTTATTTCCTCCTCAAGGAACCGCTGCGGCGAATTGTACAGACCTAAACTGTGTCTGAACGCATGTCGACAACGAACACGCAGTAGTACAAGGTGGTAGAACGCATGCGAAGCAAAAACAGAAGTCCGAAGACAGCAATCATTTTCAACAAGAACTTTGACAAGTGCATCTAGTGGCGTTAAGGTCGCTTTAAAATAGAGAAAACAGATAGCGTACTGCTGCATCAATGCCCATGGTGTGAGGAGAGCAGCCAGTACGACCACACCCGCCCGCGACTTGGGCTGCAAGCGGCGTCTAGAAGAAATGAAGATGAGGGCAGTGATGGACAAATATGACAACTGAGGGCGAATAAACAAGGTAATTAAGTAAGTAAGGTGAAGTAAGGTATGGAATATGCAGCACGAACTAAATTTTACACCCAGTGTGTGTGGAGCATTGTTGTGCACGTAAGAGCATGACGCAAAATAAAAAGGAGACGACATGCAGGCACGATAGAAAAACGCATGCCAAGCATCCGCTGCTCCTACATGTCTTTTGTCTCGTTATGTCAAACGGAACACTTTGTACAATGTGCAGTGCGCAACCACTGCACCTGCTCTTCATAGTGGAATAGTGCAGATAAACGTGAAGCACATGGAACGCACCGGCAACAAACTGGCCTGAATAGCGTGGAAAACGCCTTCCCAACGAAACGAAGGACTGCTAACCGCTGGACGACCGAATAGTTGCAGCAAACACACTCTTATGCATATAAACAAGTGCTTGGCCAACAGAAACAGACAGAGAGACAGACGCAAATGTCTCTAGACAACTGCAGACGAGCTTCACTGGCCCAAATATCCACATATACGGGCAATATATGCATATATATATGTATATACACGCGCATTACCTGTAGATCTAGAAGTACGTATGCATACATAGAGGTATAGGCGAAAAGAGAGATATGTGCATGAGCATGCATATCCACAACCGTAAACAAATATACGCATGTATATATATGCATATATATATATATATATATGTATATATATATATATATATA